GGTGTGCAAAAAGTTGGCAGATCCAGGTGCTTACTGCTCTCAGAAAGAGGTGACTGGAGCAAACCAAGTGTTCCAGTAAAGCAATTCCTCCAGCTTTAATTTATCCACATCTTATTTGACACTTTGGGATAACCATTTGACCTCTGCTTCTCCATCCATGTTCTCTTTTTTCTAATTTCTGACATATCTTCCTAATTAAGCCTGTCTTGCTTGCTCTCTTCTCTGTTAAAACATTTTTTCTAGAATATGTCTGTCTCTGTATTTCACTAACTTAATGTCTTCAAGTGCTTTCTTTAGATGTGTCTTATAAGACAACAGTGAGTGTTGCTGGGCTGTGTTGCAGCGTCACCCTATGACAGAGGTAGAGTTAGCCATGTGTGGGCAGGGTGAAAAATTGCCCTTCTCACATTGCCTACTTGCCTTAGCAGCCTTAATAGTGTTGTTTTACTGGAGTTCTCTTTTAGCCTTGTACACAAACTGTTCATATTTATCTACATAACTGAGAGGGGAGTTATCGCCAGAACCACTGAGACCAGCACAAAGATGTAATCCACATCCTCTGACATTTAGCACACCTACACACAGAATAACTGGCACACGTGTAGTGGGAATGTGAGAGACCCAGTGCAAACTCTGCGTTGTGCAGACACAAACTCTGGGTTCCTGCAGGTGTTGACATTCAGGCTGCAGCACACTTTACCTCCGTGCAGTCTTCCTAGACCAGCCCACTCTGAGAATGGGAGTCACCGTCTTCGAGGAGTGTCCAACTAAGTGTAATTTTTCTCTGAGTGAGACGAGTCCTGCTGTGGCCCTGCCATTTCACTGGGAATTGACAGCACGGCCCAGTTGGAGAAACATGCTGGCTGCAAAAGGAGTGTGTGGGCAGAGGCTACAGGGGTCAGCTGGGCATTGAGTGAAGAACCAGTGAGAGAGAGAAATGGGGAAGAGCTGTGAAGGTGAAATCACTAAGTCTGAATACAAGAATGGGAACAGGACAGTGCCTGAGAAGAAACCCAAGGGGATGCAGACATGGTCATTGATGGAGGCTTAGGTCATGGGGATACACAGGGTGTTGGTGAAAGGGAAGGACAAGGATGGTCTGCGTTTGGTCATGTTACAGCATCAGGACAGGGACAGGAGAAAAAAAAAAAGGCCAGAGGTTTGAAAAATTGTGAGAGAAAATGAAGGATTTGGGTCTAGCCTGGATGTGTGTGGCAGAAGAAAAGTCATAGGCAAAGAATCCTCCCAGACTAAACCACTTTTTTCTGTGAGAAGTCAGGGTTGTTTCTCAAGCAGCCTTACATGGTAGAGGAGGCAGTCACACCAGGGAAAACAACAGACATACTCTGAGCACTTTCACATTTTATATCTGGTATTGGTGTTTACTGTAGCTGGCATTCCTTACTACTCCTTGTCAGCCAGGAGGCAATGGCCTCTAAATTGAGAATGTCAAAACCACACAATGATTTCTTTAGCATGTGCAGGTGCTAATGGTTCTCTGCAGGCTCATGGACTCCAGAAGCCAGGAGAAAGGTTTGTTTCTGATCTCATTTTCTTCCTAATACTCCTGTAGCTGCCCCAACACTGTCCTGCCAGTAGTGGCAAAAAGAGATAAATTTGTGTTGAAAATGCAGGCAAGAATTCAGATGCAAATAATAAGGGAAAAAAATCTTAGAATGGTTTGGGTTAGAAGGCACCTTTGAGTTCATCAAGTTCCAATTACCCTTGCCCTGTGCAGAGACACCTTCCACCCGGTTCATCCGAACTTCATCCAACCTGGCCTTGGACACTTCCAAGGATGGGACATCCACAGCTTCTCTGGGCAGCCTGTCCCAGGGCCTCACCACGCTCACAGTCAAGAATTTGTTGTCAATAGCTAAGCTGTACCTCTCCTCTTTCACTTTAAAGCCATTCCCCCTTGTCCTATCTGTACACAGTTTTGTAAAAAGTCCATCTCAGCTCTCTTGCAGCCACTTTAAATACTGGAAGGTGCTGTCAGGTTTCCCTGGAGCCTTCTCCAGGCTGAACACTCCAATTCTCTCAACCCATCTTTATAACAATGGTGACCCAACCCCCTGATCATCCTTGTGGACCTCCACAATTCTCTTTTGACATGCTGCTCTACTGACTTGTTCAGTTTGTGCCAGCTGTTTACAGGTTGTTCAACAGTGAGACAAAGGCATCAAATAAAGTTTTTTCTGTTCCTGTGGAAAAAAACATGGTGACATTTTTCTCCATAGAATTTTTAAAGTTTGTCTAAAGCAGGACTTCTTGACAATTTCTCGACAACCTGGGGCTATACTCTGTTATAGCAATTTATTTGGGATCTGCTTAGCAGATATATTTTAAAAGGTCATATAATAGTGGAATATCTTTCTGGGGCCAGACAGAATTGTCCCCCCAGGCTAGCAGTTGGAGAGCTCTAGCTGCACTAAAAAAAAGTGAAATAGAATGCAAATGCTGTGTTCTTACATGTTGAGTTTTGGGAAATGTTTCAGCAGCTAAGAAGGAATTTTCTTACTTTCAAAGTTAATAAAATCCCTTATTTTCCTTTAGGAAAAAGTAATTTATTTTTTATTTAAATTTATTTCCTCAAAAAAAAATGCCAGCTTCAGTAGACTTAGCAAAACAATTGAAAGGCCTGATTTCCTCTAATAACTTTACATTTTTACATTGCTTTAAATCTGAAGGTCAGGAGGGTGGGAAGATTTGAAAAGCAATGTAACCTACCTGTGATGTTTAGCTACCTGTGCTTCTGTTATTTCTATCCTTCTGGAGGCGGTGGATGTGGAAGCATAGTCAACATATTTGTCTGAGACCGGCAGTCACAGCAGGCACTCAGCTCTATGGAAAACTTGGAGAAATCCAGAGACAACTGGGACTTGACACCTGGGATCCCAAAATAACTGGACCTGGGTATTTGTGCCTCAGAAGCAGATAGAAGGTGACCAAGATGCACCAGCAATCTTTAATTCCTTCTTTTGCTTGTCTGTGTGCTTGAGTCAACACTTCCAAAGGAACACCTCCCTATTTCAGCCTTCAATATCCCACAGTTAGTTTTGGAGTTCACTTCACCTAACAAGCTGATGTTTAGTTTCTCCAAGTAAAACTCAAGAAAAGTTTCTGCTAAGCCCCTTCAGGTCCTGCTTAACTCTCAGCCTTGGTCTCACAGCACCTCGGAAGCAGCCCCAAATCCCTGCCCACAGACGTGGTGTGTGTTGTGTCCTCGTGGGGCCTTGTAGCCATCAGCCTTTGAAATGAGTGGGGATAAGGCTCACAGCTGTCCAGAAGGCTGCCAGCTATGTGGAGAACCAGGCCTACAATTCCCCTAAACATAAATGACAATTTCACTGTCAAAGGTTCATTTCCAATCTGTGGATCTCCTTGGAGCATCAGTTTCAGTGTCACCCAGAGCTGTGCTGGTCTGCTCAACTTGTTGTGAGATTTATGTATATACATATATTTGTAAAATTTGTATATAAAAAAGAGGTGGGCTCTGCATTCACTGGGGCTAATTCATAGTTTTGAGTTCTAATTTGAATTTGCCAACTGCCTCTGCAAGCCAGACTCTTTGTCCTTCATTCCTCTAGTGCTGGAGAGCACTAGAGTGATTCCTGGTGACTGGGAGGGTTGTGTCCCTCCCATCAGGGGTCAGGGTTCCTTCAAACAAAAGGGAAAATAGCCTGTTCAGACCCTCTGTGGATGGGCAGGAGAAACTGTGCATAGAGAAAGGGCACAAAACTCTCGAAGTACTCTCTGACATGCACCGTGAGTAGCAAGGGGATGAGGTAAGAGATCTGGGAGGTGAGCTGTTCAGGAGGGGAAAGGGGAAGGCAGCATGGAAAGAAAGCAGAGTGTGGAGATTGAGAGTGATTTTAAAATCAAATGAAAACTCCGATGAGTCTTAACTCTGGAAGTTTGCCTGAGAGACAGAATCCAGATTAGCTGCAAGTAACAGGAAAAGAAAAGCAATAGTTTGTTCTGTTGCACTTCCCAGGAAGGGTCTGCAAGAGGTGCAGGATGGCAGAGAATCAAAAATTACAGATCCCAGTAGTGGGCACATGGCTGTGAGAGATCCCCTGTCCACCAGGTGTGATGGGATCAAATGTGCCAGGGTCCCCGTGCTGCCACACTGCCAAAAGGAACCCTTAGGAGCCCCAACCTTGCAAAAGGTGCTATCCCAGTGAGAGCCCAAACATACATCACTCCACGGCTGTTGGCTGACTGAGCCCTCCCACTGTGGGTGCAGCTCAGGGTGTGCCTGCCTGGGGCTCACAGGCAGCTCCAGGCTGTGCTCCTTCTCTGCTCCAGCTGGTGGGATGGAGCCAGCAGTGAGGCCAGAGCTGTGTCAGCCAGGTGCAGCTTTCAAACCCAGCCTCTTAGCACAGCCTGTCAGCTGAGGCATGGGGTTACCTTGGCCCATCTCTATCTCCTGGGGTGCTGCCTCATGTCCAGTAGGTGAAAACCTGTCTGAATGTGATCTACCAAGCAGCCATCATCCCCCAGAAGACCAGGCTCTCAGCAGATGCTCAGCCCTTACCCCCTTGCAGTCTAATGCAGGAAAGCTGATTCTACAGCCCTGTCTTCCCTTCAACCCCAGGGCCTGTTTGTCCTTTGCCTTAGGTACAGAAATTCCCCTTCTGCAACATGATGCCTCTGCTAATCTCATAATTTCACCTATGTCCAGCCCCCTCCATTTTTCTCCAGTTGCTTTAGTCTATTCTGCACCCTCCCCACCTTTACAAGTGAGGTATTTTCTGACCCCACCAGTGTCTGCAGCACCTTGCTGCTGGTGAGATGCCAAAACTTGACCTCTAAGCAGCACACACAACTCTGAGCATGAGACAATCAGGAGAGAAAGAAGGAAAGGGGAAAGTTTTGACAGGAGTAAGTTGAGAGAAATCATAAAGCTTAAGCAGAAAGAAAGCAGTTTGAAAGGTAAAGTATTCAGAGAAAGCCCTTTCCTGGATGAATCTAATTGTTTTGTTATCTTTACCCACCAAAGCATTTACTTTGGTTTGTCGCCCGATCCACAAACACTTTCGAGGAGATGACATTACCGAAAGGCAGGAACATCTGCATCAGCTCAGCATCCCCAAACTCCTGGGGCAGATGGTAGATAAACAGGTTACAGCCCTCTGGTCCTATCAAGAGAAAAAGAAGACCCATGAATGAAGAGAAATAGGATACGAGAAAGCACATGGTGGAGATTTACTTTGGCATCTTCTCTCTCTGACTGGTGAGTGGTTGTGCTAGGAAGCAGCCTGTAGACTCTTGGAAGAATGGACAAAGCAGAAGACCAGGAACTCAAAAAGTCACCTAGACACTATGGTAACTTCAACAGCTTTCCCAGGACACCAGGATAAAATCTAGAGAGAGAGGAATGCACCAGCACATGTGGCCATGGAAAGAACAGAATGGAGGAATAAGAACACAGAGAATGAAAGAATATGGTTCATATATTTTATTTGTTCCTCATAACCTCATTTAATCTGCAGGGTTTTGGATGACCCACAGTATCCCTTTCCTCTTTCCAGTGTCTGAAGCATGCAGAAGTTTCATTACCTTGCTTGAATCTGTGTGGTGACAATAACATCACACAAATGATGATAATAAGTAGAAAGATATGCTCAAACCCACAGGCTCATCTTGTTCTGTAGAATTTTACATTCATCCCCCCAGCTCAAATCAGCCTGAAGAATCCCCCAGATTCTGGACAGCTAGACCATGTCCTCCATTCTAGAGCATTCTGCAGGAGAGATTTTAGGTGGATTTAAATCCAAACTACTAGACAAGAGGGATTGGATTTTTGCCTCAATCCTGTAACACATACTCTTACCAATTTTAGAGGGTGTTCTGGAAAACATCCAGAGAGGTGTCTTTAGATGGAATATGAAGTAAAAGTAAAGACCCTCAAAAAATATTCTGTTGAAATTGTATTTTGGGGCAGAAGAGGGCAAACCTTCCTCTTGTCAAATAGCCTAGAATATAAATTTTGAACCTGACTTTTATTTTTATGCATGCTGTCCTTGAGCAACAGTCAAAAAGGTGCGTCCACATGGTTTTGTTAAAAAAAATTAAACATTTAAAATCCTTGCAGTGTTCAATAGCAGAAAACTGTATATTTTGATGAGACAGGGATTTTTTTTCATCATTTTATTTCTAAAGGTACTTCCAGCTGCTGCCCAGCTCTGCACTGACCTCGACAGGTAACTCCAGCTCTGTTTGACTCAGAGGGATCGAGATGAAGGGGATACATTGTGTGCCCTTTGCCAAAAGGGTTAGAGGTCAGAGAGAAGGAGGGTTTCCTCCTTCCCCCTCACCCATGTGCCTACAGCCCTGTGACCTGACTCAGTCAACTTTCCCCTTTTTACGTCTAGGGCACAGTGTGGGGAAGGAAAAGGTTTTTTAATACTCTCGTTTTCTTCATCAGGGCATAATTACAGTGTCATAACACAGCAAATTACACCTTTGCCTTTCCTGTTAGGGAGAAGAGTTCGTCTAGATGCTCCCACCTTTTATTACCCATTACTCATCCCCCCGGCTGGCAAGAGAAGTACGGCGAAGTCAGGATTCTGGCAGATGCCCATTTAAAGCTCATTAAAATTCCTGGGCCTCAGCATGATTGAAGTCACAGGCTCTCCACATTTCCTTTTGGATTAATGGAAAATGAAGCCCTAATGAATATTTGCTAAGCACAATTTTCCCCACTAATTTGCTAAAAGGACTGTCATGAAGGAACAGCTGATCCTGTGCATCTTGTGCATTTCCTAAAGGTCATGAGGATGGTAACAGGGTTTCTTCCAAATGGGGGGGATAGTGGTATAGTGGGATAATTAACTAATTAGGCACCCGGTCATCTGCTTAGCCAAATTACTTTTGAACCTCAGTGGCCCATAATCAGGCTCCCCTATTTCATGCCAAGCTTTTCCAGCTTCCCCCCACCTCCCGTCTGCCTCTTCTTTAGTCTTCTCACTGGGCAACTATAATTTTTCCAATCCTTGCTGCCATCCATTTCCACACAATACAGAGTTATTGGCATAATAAGCTAGATATGAAACAGTCTGAAAGTGTTAAACAAACACTAACCCCCTTAGGTGTCTGTTAAAATTGAGAAAATTCTGCCCAGGAGCAGACCGCAGTCCAGAATAACAGGAAAAAAATTCATTCCTTCATCTGAACGTGCCCCAGAGCACTTCTGCTGTGGGATTTGAGATCCACATTATAATAAAATGGGTAAAATCTTGGCTTTGCTGCAGTCGGTGGCAAAATTCCCACTGACATCACCAGAGCCAGCAGTTTGCACTGTAAAACTGGCCAATTCTTTCAAAAATACCAGCTGCATTTCCTGCGGTCTTGGATGTGTTGTGCATGAGTAGGGAGTCTGCCTGTGTGTGCTGAGAAACACCTACCAAGGCATAAGGCAGACCAGGAGGCACACAACTTTAGCTACACCACCTTTAGCCTGGGCTCAAGGAGAGAACAACCCTTAGTTCACCTTGAAATCAACTTTTCCTCACATGACTCAGAGACCAAAAGGAGGGTGTGAAAGAGCAGGGACCATTCTTGTAGATCAGCTTCGCTCTAAAATGTGCCTGGGAAACCTGTGCTGTAGCTTCTCTTACTGACCCAGACATTCAAGGCTGAACTCACTTTGTTTCCAGCTACAGAGGGGTTTTTCCTAACTTTCAATGCTGAAAACTTCACTTGTTTCTGAGAAAAAAAAGCAAAAAAAAACTGCCAAAAAACAAACAACAAAAAATCAAAACCAAAAATAGGTAGCTTGATTTGTTTTGTCACCCCCACATATGAAATTACTGCCCTTAGAATTTAACAAGTGATTTTTTTGTTAAATCTGTCTGTAAGTTACCTGCCACAGCCAGAGCCCTTGGTAAAGAACTCACAAAACAAGATCTGTCTTTTTCAGCCCTCCTAGCTTTTTTTTTGGATAGGTTTTTGCCTGATTCAAGTTCACTTGGGCACTCCATAGAAGGCTGTGTGTTTGTGTGTATGGCTGCCTTGTTGTACACTTAGGTATATTTTTATGAAACCAAAGACAAGATCATAAGGAAGAAATTCTTTACTGTGAAGGTGGTGAGGTTCTGGAACAGGTTGCCCTGAGAAGTTGTGGATGCCCCATTCCTGATAGTGTTCAAGGCCAGGGAGGATGGAGCTCTGAGCAGCCTGATCTAGTGGAAGGTGTCCCTAGGCAGTTGCGACTAGAGGATCTTACACAAACAATTTTATGATCCCATTTGTTTATCTCAGAATTCTTTAAAGATCTTAGTCAGTTCTCAGTGCACGAATGTAATGAGTTCTGAGGAGCTTGCTCAGGATACTGGAACAACAGAAAAAACACAGCTGGTATGGAAAAAATCTTAATAAAGACTACAACTCTCTTTTTGGAGAAAAAGTTCTTGTTTTGGACAGAGTTAATGGATTATTGGAGATGACTATACTTGGCAATTCAGGGCTGAATATAATAATAAAATTATTTACGACGGGCTTTACTTTTGTTTTGAAAAGGGCTATAGTGTAGCTTGAAATCTAACCCCCATGATACATCGTCAGAAAAAATGAAGTTTCATTTCAACACTGATGTCTACCATGCCTCTTGGTTTTATGACATGTATACATTTTATGATATATATATACATTTCTGTTCATTTATATACAAGAACAGTTAGCCTTGATTCGGACAAAAAAGCAAGGAAAGCTTTAAGGACTGTACAGTATATGGATGTTCTGTAGATTACAGAAAAACTGTCCTGGATAATGGAAAAACCTGTGACAGGGGGTACAGAACCACATGGTGGGTTTGGCTGGGCTGAACCTGGGCTGAGCCTTTGACAAGCCATTGCTCTGCCCATGCTCCTCACACTTGAACTCATTGTCAGTTTTTTAGCACAGGGACAGCTGCAGACCCAGCCTCTCCCTGCCTGCCCACCTTCAACATATACCTGTTCTGACATCAGGTGCCCATCATTGCATCCCAGCACTGGGAGACAGTGTCATGAGGAAAGGCTATGATGAGGCTTGTTTTTCCAACAGTAATTAAAACTGGGCTAACCCACGAGGTTGTATGAAGCCAGGCTGCAGCACTGTATTAGCTGCACACCTCACCTCTACAGCAAACACGCAGAGAATGGAATTTCATTGCCTCTCCTGCTTGCCCAGAATGTTTGAGCACAGCACAGATAGGAGTGGCAAACTTGTACCAAGGAGTTGCACTTCCTAGTTTCAGAAACTACATCAAGATGAGTAATACAGACTTAAAATTACCTCCAAGTTTTGTGTGGTTGACATGGCCTGAATCAAGATTTTATCTTAAGCTTTGGTAGTTTTGGATCAGTTCCACCCTATACACCCTGTCAGCTGCCTGCAGCCTCAGTGCTCATGTGGCAATAATGACTCATCTCTACAGGAATGTTGCAGCAGCAAAACGTCCCCGGGCTTGTTATCCAACTGGGATCCAGGAGTGGAAAGCTGAGATTGTCATTAATAATGTGATCACTGGTGTTATTGTGGTGGTAGGGCTGGTTCACTAACAAATCAATGTTTGTGCACATCCTTGCAAACCTAAAATACCCTTCTCAGCACTGAGTGTTATTGTTATTATTGAGTTCCCTCTCACTGTGTTTTCCTGCTAAAGGTTAGAGATGCTTAAAGGTCTTGACCCTCTGCTAAGGGGGAGTGTTGTGCTTTACAGAATATTCCTCTAGCAAGAAACAGAGAAAGACAGAGCCTCTCAGCACTGCAGGAAAATGAGTAACACTGGGAATGGCAGCCTGCACTGGACTGGTGGCTCATCTCACATGGCTGTCCCCCAGCCATCCTCATTCTCAATGCCAGCCGCTTTTAGCAAGGAGCAGAGTTATGAGACAGCTTGTCCACTGGGTGACACTCACTCCTAACCCACAGAGACACACCATGCCTTGTGAACACAGGGGTCTACAGGCAGAGGGTCTTCAAAGCGTGCACCACAGCTTGCCCCTGCTTCTGGTGGCTCCTGGCGCAGCGCTTTGCTGAGCAATGATCTGCTCGCCATTTTGTCCTGTGCTTAATCTAGCCCCAGTAAGTAATAAAAAGCAAAGTCCTTCAGCATGGGGGAAACATCTCTGTAATGATACGATAGGTCTGTGCATCTGTTCTCACAGCAGGGACATGTACTAGAGCTAATCAGGAGCTGGAAGTTGTGTTCCCCAGGAAATTCTGACATAGGAAAAAATTAATTCCAAATTAGATGGAAATGACGACATTTCTAATTTTCTTACAAAATGAGATTTCTCCCCCAAAGTAGTTTTAGATCATCAGAATGTTTTAGTCTGATGGTGTAATCTAGATTCATTTCATTTAGACTCTTAGACTGTATTAAAATATTAAATGTAATTACATACATATAATAACACATATAATATAGAATATGTCTGAATTAGTGATCTAATAGAGGATAAAATTTAAAATGTAACTATTTAAAATGAGAGTTGCTAAGCTGAAGCACCTGACTTTAATGTCTCACTCAGGCAAGCACACTCCTCCTTCTTGACAAAAGGAGTAGTTCTCCTTGGAGGACAACTGGAATGGAACCACTCAAGTTGCCTCTGAGGACTCCACTGCTCCCCACTGACTGTAAAAGAAATATTACATGGCACAGTTTTCTCCCAAGGCATTTACATGCAAAAATGGTAGATTCACCTCTCCTTACTCTTCATGTCTTCCGTGAAGCCATCCAGTCCTGTGGAGTAGATTACCCAGGCAACTCTCATAGACATTGCAAAGAAATAGGAACTTTAGCTACAAGTTTTTTCTCATCCTGATATAGGGATTGTGCTCTGCAAGGTCTGACTGATGTTTCCAGATTATCAGTGGAGGCTGAAAGGCTGAAAGGACTAGATCAGCTGCTCTAAATAGCAAGTCCTTGTTCTCCAAACAGCAGGTGTCTGAAATGACCTACTGCCTTTTAATGAAGGGCCACTAGTGCTTTGTTTCCCATAAAGCTCTTTATTCCAATGCAATTGCATTTTTATCTGCATTCTTGTTGCTTGTCTCGAACAGAGGCCCTCACTGGACATTAATGGCTATGTTGCTATCTGGTCTTTCCATGTCCCATGCACACCAGCATGCTTTCTTCCCAGGGGACTGAAGAGATCTCATCAGCAGTTCCCCACATGGATGGTCCACCACAGTACTCTTGGTGACAGTGCCACCATGCCACATATGGAAATGGAGAAAAACTCATTGGACCAGGCATTCAAAGCAATTGGGTGTTTAATGGATGCTCTAGGTGCACGAGGAGGGGAACCAATGAGATGGGGATGGCTCGCTGGGGTCACAAAGGAGGATATCACTTTCACTTACCTTCTCTCTGTTGCTGTGGGATCATGGGAGGTGGCTGTGGGAATGCTTGGCTAATCTGGCCATAAGCAGCAGGATAAGCAGCTAAAGGGGAGAAAAAGGGAAAAAAAGAAAGGACAGATTTCAGTGCTGGGAAGCAAGGAGCTTTCACTCCAAACCACCATACCAAGCCAGACGTGGCTCTGCCCCTGTGTTTTGCTCTGTGAAGGGTCATCTCGTGCAGTCTGAGGTGTGGTGTAAGAGCTATGGTTGTGCTCCAGCAGGTGCCTGAAGCATCCTCCCTCCAGCTCCATCAGCAGCAACACCTGGGCAGCCATGCATTGTAAAAGGGGGGCTCTGCTAAGACCACTCCCAGCAGAGATGTCCGACCATTCTGCGTGGCGACAGGAACATGTTCACCCGCGAGCTCAGCGCAGAGGTGCCCACGCTGACAGCCACCCACAGAGCACGGGCACACCTTTCCCCCACCTCACCTCTGGCACCCTGATTAACTCCCATGCTCATAAAAACAGTTCACACGTGTGTTTTCCCCTTCATGTGCCCACAGGCTGTATAGGCACAGTTGCACATACACTCTCAGATATACATTTTCTTTCATGCCCGTAGAGACTTCCTCTCTCTCACACAAACACAGTGGAAACAGTGAGCAGCAATTAAACAATTTTCCCCATCTCAGCTCCCCCACCAAGCAAACAAGGGGAGCCATTCACTACCACAGATGGTAGATGATGTGCCTTGCTGCTAAAAATACAGAGTATGGGTCGCTTGCAAGACCAGAGAGAAGAGGATAGGGGCCATGTGTGTGCAGAGGGGTTAATTAACAGCTCAAAGGGTTGAGTTGCTTCCCATCTATCAAACCTCACAAGCAATAAATGACAATAACTAAAACACCGGCAAATGAAGCCCTACATGGAGAATTAAATTAAGTTTCCAGATACAGCGCTGACACGAGATAATAGCCATTCCTCAGCAGGAACCCATGATTGCTCCAGTTACCACAGGAAATAATGACTTTGGGGTGGCAGCTTCCTCGCAACGCTGGCCATGGACACCTCGTGAGGGGAGGCTGAACACAGCAGGGTCGTGGTCTGCACCAGGTCACTTTGGCTGGTGTCAGTCCATCAACTGCAAAGGAGCTGCTCAGCACACAGGGCAGCACGAGTGGAGGCTGAACCATGGGGAGCTCTGGTGAAATCTGCTGGGAAGCAGGAGGATGTCTGGGTAGCTCTTAAGCAAGGCTCAGACTGACTAAGTGGGGCATGGCCAGCAGACACACACTAAAAAAACGGGTGTGTGCAGGCATTCCATCTCCTGCCAGGCACTGGCAGCAGTGGCTCTGCGGTGTCTGGCTGCCCATCTTCCCTCTTTGCTGCAGCACTCAGGAGACCTGCTTTAGAAAGCGGCCTCCAAAGCAGTGACCTGATTTTGCCCTTGTGCACTGTGCTAAGGCAGACCAGACTCAGTTCTATTGATGAAGCTTGCCTGGGGTGCAGGTCAGTGGGAGCCTTTCCATGGAGATTACCTCCTTTGGGAGAGAACACCCTGGATGTCTTGATGTTTGTGCAAGTTGAATCAGGGAGTCTGTGGGCCCCAGCCTGTCCCTGTGTCAGTAAAAACCTCCCTTCCCTCAGCCCCCTGAGGTGTGTGGCTTTAGAGAAGAGAAAGGTTTATTGGGAGAAAGTGTTAATACTAACGACCTGCGTACTGCTGCACTCCAGCGTAGGCTTGCTGCAAGGGGTCTGCTGCAGTGGGGCTCTGTGCTGTGGAGACACAAGAGAGACAAGGAATTAAGGGGTTAAAACATGACAGGCACTCTCCCCTTATCTTTTATCATCAATATGTGTTATGAAACAGACAGACCCAGGGGCTGAGGGTTGAAGAGGAGCAGCTCACTTGCCCTATGGACAGGAATGCAGAGAACCCCCCAGGATGGCTAAGAGGGTTCTGTCCCCCAGCCATCACCCTGTGAGACCTTGGAGCAGAGGACAAACAAACCTCTCTCCTCATTTCCCAAGCTTAAATTATGGATCTGCAGTGATCATGCAGATTTTTTACACTAATCAACCCCAAAGAACCCTCATCTTAAGCCAGGACTAACACTGTGCTAGGTGCTGTGCAACTCAGATCTCAGTGACAGCTACAGTCACATGAAACTTTCAATCAGAGCAGAAAACAACAGGGGCATAGCAGGAGGAAGGAGAAGAGAACAAAGCAATGGCTCCTGTCATCCCCACATCCCTTCGAAGGACTGTGTTGCTGCCAGGCAGCCCCCAGTGAGAGAGAAGAAGCTGCATGGAGGGGAGGGGGACACCGCTTGTCTGCTCCAGGGAGGATGCTGTGAATCTCTGCATAAGGCATGCAGTCTCTTGCTGGCTTCAAAGTGTATTTTCTCTCTTTACAAGTGTGCATTCCTCCCCACTAAAACTGTTTATTTTTGTGAAACTTTGAAGTCTTGCTCAAATACAACCAAAGCTAGTTAAGAATTTTTTTTCTTTTTCTCCTTTGGTTGATAGGGAGAAAAAAGAAACGTGTTAGATAAGCTCTTTATCTGCATCAATAAAAAATTTAAAGCAAAGCTTGGCTAAACCTCCAGTCCAAATGTCACCTTGGCCCTAATATTTCACTTCTGCTAATGAGTTTAATTTGTATTTATTGGGACTGCACAGTTCTACATTTATGCAGTCCCTCCAACCTATTCCTTGTAGGATGCTCCCTTAGGGAACTGCCACTTTCCCACATCCATCCCACCTTTTTTCCTTCTTACCCGCACAGAGGTGTGGCTGGAGGCAAGGCTTGGAGGATGCAAAGGTGGGGGCCTCTTGGAAGGAAATCTGGTGCCATACACCTATCCAAGGAAAGACACTGACTGTATGGCAAAGTGTGGGGGAGGTTGTCATACGTGAGTATTACATACCCAAGGAACACGGATAAAGTGTTTTCTTACAAATAGAAATACCAGCTTGAAACTTAACTTTAAAGATCACCATTGGTCATGATGGAAACTTGCAAGGTCTTACACTTTTCTCCCAAAATACAAGGAGGAATGGTGAAATGACCAAATTTGAGGTGGCAAACCCAATTAGCTGGCTAAGGCTTGGAAGCTCCTGTTCATTATGGATATGACTGGATCATGTAGACTTTGAGGTTGGGGTAGTCATAGGAAGAAATAAGTGGGATTGCAGTCTTAGCTTGGAATGGTTTCCTGGCTGACTTTTGGCAAGTCCCTCAACACATGTGTATGTGAAATGGGAAAGCACTGTCTCACTGTAAGGATTTTCATTTTTTACAAAACAATGCGTGGAGAATATGTTAAAACCTGTGGGAGGTCAGTGGCAGGCAGACTAGAGATTCTATATGACATTTTTAAAGAGTAGTTGTTCCAGGAAAATAATGGAGGTAATGTTTGGAAAACACAATTTTAATTTTTTTTTTTTTTTTTTTTTTTACATACCGCTTTCTTCTTGAAGAAGAAACCAACTAAAGTCCATTCTTTTTAACCTCTGCTTAAAACTGTTTTGTTCATAAAACAGAATACTGGTCATATTGCCCCACAAGAAAACTGAACAGCTATGAAAAGTTGAGTAATACATCAGTTCCCTCACCCCTTTAGGAGAATGGATCATAACAACTTAGACCCTTCAAGTCCTGTCAGGTAGAAGATATCTCCTGAGAAAGGTGAGGGAACGTTTCTGAGAGAAACAAATGTTTTTTAAACTATGGTTTTACAGATTGCAGTAAAGGAAAGGATCTCCCATCTCTGCCCCAAAGGCAACTGTGCTTCTTTCATTGCACATAAGAAGAAATTGTCTCTGCTGTTCAGGAAATGCTATTACAGTATTTCCTTCCTCCCCAGATGAGGCTGATTTGGACAAATTGTTCTGCCCCCTGACTTGCTGATAATTAGCAATGGCTGGCACTTCACTGATACAAGAGAACTCACTAAGAAGGACCTGTCCTGTGATCCTTGCCTTTATTCCCTGCCTTATCCTGGCACATGTGGGAGTTTCCTGACCTCCCAGCTATAGCTGAGTCTATCTCCTGGACACGACCACCTGGCTCACTGCAGAGCTGCTTTGCTTATCCCACCTGTGGTTATCTCACCTGCCTTTGGAATCATGCTTTGACCATCAGAACTAAGGTATTCTGCTTAGGAAATATATGCTGAGAATCCCTCACTTTTAAGGTTAAATATTAGAGCTGGGTAAATAATTTATTTAAAGTGTTTGGGATAACAGGCCATGAAATGAAGCCTTTCTGTCTTCCACACTAAAACTTTCAGAGTTCATTATTTTCCTGAGTATTTATGACTTGCCACCAAGGGTAATATCTAACAGTGTTTCTCGTGAGGCTGCCTTGTGACCCAGGTCATTCATGGGGTTTTGTCTTGGCTCACAGCACATGCCAGCCAGTAGGAAGATTACAGTTAGCTTTTCTCCAACCTGGGAATCCCTTCCTCATGGGAAAAAAATATTCTAAGTATCTGTTCTAACACACGGGGCCCTAAATGCCCTGACCATCCCTGGATGCTCTTGAAAGGAGAGCTGAAAGCACCTCTGGGGGGGCAGCAGCTCCTGGCTTGTGGCTCTGTTTTACTTGTAGATTCATACCCTGCCTTGGCCATTTGGGGAAAGCCAAAGTTGTGGTGAGTCACAACCAGCAGGAATTTAACTTGACACCTCTTAAAAGTGATGACTTCTCTCACTGAAGGACTCTCCTTCCTTAGCTTGAAGACTGTGTTTACTCAGCAAATGAAGATGTGACTTCAGCATGGTGGACTGTCCATGCTGGCCAACACGGCCTATGGAGAGGCAGGGACACAGGCTCCAGGGCTGGCTGGACACCCTTGCAGGAAGCCAAGGCATCTTGGGCAGCCATGAGCACATCTTCATCCTGCTGCTCACCCTGCCAGATGAATCAGACCTAGCGAAGGGCATAGCTCCCTCTGCTCCCAGCTGTAGCCATTCCTGGTATTGATCCAGGAATCTCAAGACAGAGATTAGACATTTGAGGAAGTTGTGGCCATGCTGTGTTCTGTAAAGCAGCAGCCCTCTTACATATTAATCACCTCTGAGGAATTCACCAAGGGCTTGGTTATATGAGGTGCTCACAATTCAGAGTCAACCTACCACAGGGGTTAGGTGTGGCTGTAGCCCACCACTTGCTAAAATTCAGATTGGAAGTTATGAGTATTTTCTGTATCTCAGCACAAGGAGACCATCAGCTAGGGTTGCTTTGTTCCTCCATAAGCTACACATAACTTCATGGCCTTCACATAGATCATTAGTGGGAGAGTTAACCTGCCTCAGTCACCCTTTCTCCCCATCCAGCTTACCAGTCTTCTTTGATACTGAAAATATTAGTTGAACACAAACATACAGGACTGAGAAAAACGCCTCAGCTCCTCTGTGTGCTGTCTGTGCCAGGGTGCAAGCCCACAGTGGCTCACAAGGTAAGTAGGTGTACAAGGGCTGATAAGAGATGTAGATGAGAGACATGGATATCACAGAGCACCTTACAGCAGCTTTTGGACCAGCACCGGTATGTCTCTAAATTGTATCATCATCCAAAGACCTTGGATGTGCTGACTCTGTGCAAATGTGCCTAGGGAGAACATCTGAAACAGATTTCCTTGTGGCCAGACCCACGGAGGTGTCGTGTCCAACACACAGACATTTCCGAGATTAAAGGTGTTGCAATGTAAATGATGGGGATCAGCTGGTGGAGAGGAAAAAAAAAGCAGAGAGGATCCTGAGAGGCCAAAGGAGAACTATCAATCACATCAGCCCCACTGAAGTCCTTGTGGCCTTGCTGCTTTCCAGGATCTGGCCTTGCCAGGGCAAACTAAAGGTGTACCGTGAAAACAGATGCTAATAGTAACATCATTTGGCAGCTCAGGGCAAGAGCCTTATCCCTGGACATCTCCTCTATATTAATTTGATCATTTCCATATCTCCACGGGAAAAATCCTGCTCAGATACAATTGTCTCTTTGCAAGACAGTCCTGGCCAAGATGCCACAAGGTGACCATGGCAGATAACCTTCCATAAACCTGGAGACATAAAACAAGCCAATGACCTACTATATGGCCATAAATATAAATTTAACGAAGGCAGCACTTATTCATTAGGCAGAAGTCAAGAAATAACTCCCAAGTCCTTCAAAGAAAGTAGATCCGTTAATGTCACTTTCCAAATCCTCTGCCTGATGCCAAAAACTGAGGATGATTTCCCAAGTCAGCATGAAATACAAGTGCTTTAAAATTAACACCAGGAAACTTTCTTACTCCTGATATATCTCTAGATTGAAATCCAGCTTTTTAAAGGGGCTTTCAGTTAGTGTTGGGCCTGACATTTAGCTTTTGTCAGAGAATGAATGGATGGAGGTAGCAGAATGAAGCACGTTGTTAAAAATAAATAAAATTGGTTGAAGTGATATTCTATAAAGAATCCTTCCTGAGGTGTCACTAGCCTGACTCCAGTGTCTGTCCAAGACAAGCTGCTGTATGGGTGCTCCAAGTGAAAATGGTTGTAGGGGACAGAGGTCTGGAGTCTTCTGTGGTATTCAGGGGTGTAAATCAGGAGGATCTGCATAGAAGCGAGTGGGCTGGCGAGGAAGAAGGATGATAATTACAGCCTGAGCCAGCAAAAGAGGACTTCAAATGCCATCAGTGGACTATGGGACAGCCTCCTTGTCCCAGCTCAGGTAAGAGAAAGCCAAAGTGGTCTGCTCTCTGAAACCAGAGGAGTCCAGTGCTTCTGAA